AAAAAAGGAAAAAAAGTCAATATGCATTATTTTTCTTCCAAATGTATTAGCAGATTCTAGAATTTGCACCCCATGTCTCTGAAATTTTACTAAAAATGGGGACAGTTGTTGGAAGTGGTGGCATATGCCTATAGTCCTAGTATTTGGGAGTTGGAAACAGGAAGGTCAGGAGTTCAAGATCATCCTTGGTTATAAACCAAATTCAAGGCCAGCCTGGGCTATGTAAGACCCAATCTCAAAAAAGAAAAAAGAAAAAAAAAAGAAGTTTGCAATTTGAAGACAATAGCAGATTTATCTCAAAGGAATACTTTCCTTTCTGAAATTTATCTTGAGTATATAGTGATTGGGCAAGGTATCTAAGGCTAAGTGCTAGCCTCCACAGGTATTTGTATACACAAGCATGCACACCTGCATACACAAAGCCTTTTTTTTTTTTTTTTTTTGGTTTTTCAAGACAGGGTTTCTCTGTTTTTTTTTTTGAGACAAGGTTTCTGTGTAGTTTGGTGCCTGTCCTGGATCTTGCTCTGTAGACCAGGCTGACCTCAAACTCATAGAGATCCGCCTGGCTCTGCCTCCCGAGTGCTGGGGTTAAAGGTGTGCACCACCACCGCCGCCGGGCTACAAAGCCATTTTTTTTTTAATTAGAAACACTACACATGCTTCTGCTATTGAATGACCTGATACTTAAATGGAACACAAGCTGCAGAAGGTAGTTCTTTTCTCCTTTTTACCTTATACCAAGATGGTATTTAGTCAAATGTATTTCCTATAAATACACATTTTTTTTTTCTAATTTTGGGGGCCAGTGGAATCAAACCACAGGACAACTAGTTATGATGCCCATGCACCTGGACAACTGCAACTGCCCTCTAAGTAGTTTATCTCTAGTTCTCTCAATACTGACTACATAGTCAGTTTAACTTCCATGGTTATTCCATTTTGTGAGTGTGAGTGTGTGTATATAAATGTGAAGTAAGAGCTCATCCTTGTTCCTCAGATGCCATTCACTGTCTTTTGTTTTTATTGTTTTGTTTTGAGGCAGGATCTACTCCTTCCCTGGAACTTACCCATTATGCAGCCTGGCTGGCCAATGAGCCTCAGGGATTCCCATCTCTGCCTCCCTGATGCTGGGATTACAAGCACTAGGAGTTTCATGTGGAATCTAAGGAACAAACTCAGTTCTTCACGCTTGCATGGCAAACACTGATGGGCTATTGTCTTCAGCTCTGGACACTTGCTTTCTGGTATTTAGAATACAAGTTCTTTATTGTCCTCAATTTCAAATACATCATGACCTACCAAATAGGAGTTCTACCTTATCTATTAAACTCAATTTCCTGTTTTTCTTTAGTCCAGTAAGACTATTTATTTCCTTTTATACACAGTATTTTTTCTTTTGCTGATTGTTTTCCCTTCACATACGAAGCTTTCTTTGTCTCCTTTTCCAATTAAGTTCAATTCTATTAATCAAGTATTTATTGAAATCCTGCTAAACATTAGCCATTAGAGTCGGCCAACATAAAAATGCAATGCCAAAATGCCATCAATTGGGGCCTAGAGAATGGCTCAGTGGTTAAGAGCATTTGTTATGCAAGCATGGGGACAGATATAAGCTCAAATCCCCAGCACCCATGTAAAAAACTGGGTGTGGCTGCATGTGCCTGTAACTCTAACATTTCAGGGAGAAGACAAAGAGGATTCTGGGAGCTCAGTGGCCAGCCGCCAGTCTAGCCAAAAGCAAGAGCTCCAGGTTCAGTGAGAGACCCTGTCTCAAGACAATTCAGTAGAGAGAGAAGAGGAAGGCTTGTTCACATGCATGGGCATACACACCTGAACACTCACATTTATGAACACTACCCACTCAACACAACAGATAAGTAAACAAATGAATGCCATCAACTCAGAGCTGTAGGTGCAGTTTAGAGCCTACATGTGCAAGGTTCTGGACCCAATCCCTGAAAGGTTAATGATGTAAAGGCCTCAGATGGACTGAGAAACTCCATACAGAAAGTTGACTTGTGCAAGCTTCTGACAAGGAGATTCACACACCAAACCCCGCTGGGATCTACCACTTCAAGATAGACTGGAGGGAAACTGACCTGCAGATGGAATCTTCCATCCTCATTTCCATTCTATAAAACTCTAAACCCCTTGGTATTACATGCACAGTCTCTACTCCTACAGAGAGATGAAGTCCTTAAGCTGTTCTGATAAAAGGACAACGCTGCTTCTGGAGATGCCTGCTTTCTATTATTCCAAGTTGCCTCCATCAGTTCTAATTTAACAACAATCCCCAGTGCTCAATCAATTAGCTAATTAACTAAAATGTATGGTTAGCGGCATCAACTTACTCTTTAACATTTTATAATTTACATACCTTTATAGTCCTAATTAAAAACCTACTTCTTACCGGGTGGTGGTGGTGGTGGTGGTGGTGGTGGTGGCGGTGGTGGTGGTGGTGGTGGCGGCGGCGGCGGCGGCGGCGGCGGCGGCGGCGGCGGCGGCGCACGCCTTTAATCCCAGCACTCTCGAGGTAGAGCCAGGTGGACCTCTGAGAGTTAAAGGCCAGCCTGGGCTACAGTGTGAGTTCCAGGAAAGTCTCCAAAGCTACACAGAGAAACCCTGTCTCGAAACAAAACAAAACAAAACAACAACAAAAAACCCTACTTCTTCAATGAATCTTTAAGCTTTCCAGTCCATGCCTTATATTTTTTTAAAGAAACCAGTGTCTTCTCTACAACGTATCAGTAGAGTCTATGAAAACAAAAGATAACTACTTCACTGTAGTGTGTTTTGTTCCTGTTTTGTCTTTTCAACCATGTTACATGTTCTGGAGTGCAAAACTAAACTATTCATTTGTTCTCAAGATGACATGTGCCGTTAGTATTTTTAAAACACCATTTTGTTTCATTTATTGATTTACAATAAACTGAACCATACCAGTGTGCCACATATTACTAAAATAAAACACTAAATTGCCAATCTAGGCTAAGATAAGTTTTGAGTCTCTTAAAACAACCCAATTTCATTTTTTTTCTTTCTCATATAGTCAGTATCTTTATCATATCAAATCCATGTCAGGTCATAAAAAAGTATCTGGTACAAAAACAAAAACTCTAGATTTTTAAAGTATATATGAATTATACAAATGAATTGCATTATGACATTTTCATCTGTGGCTATAGTGTGCTTTGATCATAGTCTCTCTCTCTCTCTCTCTCTCTCACACACACATACACACATACACACACAACTAGTTATCCTGTCTTGAAAAACTCTAACTTTTAAAAAATGGATTCCTATTCATGACTATTTAGTTTCATAGTTTCATATTTATTCAAAGAAAGTCATATAACTGTAAAACTACATTTTAAACTAGAATTCCTTTTCATCTTTTAACCAGTTACTGAAGGTTTAGGTTTTTTAAAAGTATATAGTCTGGGTCTGGATAGATGGTACAGAGGTTAAGAGCACTGGCTGCTTTTCCAGAGAACCTGGGTTCAATTCCCAACACGCACACAGAGGCTCACAACCATCTGTAACTCCAGTCCCAGGGAAACTTGGCACCTTCTTCTGACTTTTGCAGGCACCAGACATAGTATACATAGTGACATATGTCAGCAAACAAAATAAATAAGTAAATGTTTTGAAATATATAGTCTAATGTAGTCTTAAAGTCTATCATTAGTTAGATCAGCCTCCTGAAGTCTTTGGAAAGGCTTAATTCAATAAGCTGTGACATGCTGTGAATATTCTGAAGAAGTCAGACAGACCTTCACTCTAACTTTGTTTTGCATGTTGAGAATGATGATTCCACATGCATGCATCAAAATATAGCAAGAAACAATTTTCTGCTCATATAACAAGGATTTCTGGGGGTTGGGGTTTGGAGTGCAAGCTTGAGATGTCTTGAAAATGGCTTTAGAAAAGCATGAGTTTTAAATAATGACTAGGAGCGAGGGTTCCCATTAAAGGCTTTTTGAACTTCCTGTTGGCAGCAAGAAGAAACCAAGTGGGTTTTCTCTGCAGTTTGATCAGATGTAGGGAAAAAGTGAAGGCTTAAAAATCTGTAAGCAATTACACATCAAAACACAGTCACACTCTTTATTACTTCACAACTCAATTTAAAGGCACACAGAGATATTAAGCAATGTATATCATTTCATCAAATTTAAATATCTTAATTTAATCTGTCTAATTGAAAAATATCGAACATAAAATACAAACATGAAATACAAATATGAAACAAAGTATAAATACAAAAACTAAAAATGTTAATATGAAATGTTCCTTGTTGAAGATGGAAAACAAAAAATTTTTTTATTCTTCAAAAAAGGTTTAATCAAAACCAGGACAACCAGAGATAAAACAATACAATTTTCAGATATTAGTCTTTCTTTCACTTCTCACTTTCTTTAAGACATAGTTAACATAATTAACAAAATTAGAATTTTACTGTTGTTGCATTTAGAAGAAAATAACATAAACCTTTACTGTCACTGACATGAATTTTTTAAAAATTACTATCAGAATTCCATTCTGCATCCTGCAATAATGAAGCCTAAATAAAACCCAGTGATTCCAAGACTTTTAATTGCTGAAGTATGAATTCTGCACTGCTACCATTACAAGGTCTTCTGATCGTTTGAAGGCATTCTTGTTATTATCAAAATAACTAAAATACTCCAGACTAAAACTCAAATTCCGGAGAGAAATGGACTTAATATTATACAAAAATTAATGAAAAAGTATTGACGTCTCTAAGATAGAAGGACTGTCTCATATGGCTTATGAAGTCAAAGTCAAAATCAAAATAAATAATGATTAACTAATATCACAAATAAAAATGAAACATTCAGTACTTAAATAACTTCAATCAAGTGACTCAACTGTAGTAACCAATTACTACTTTAATTGACAAAATGTATCTTCATGCATTCAGTGATAATACAGATTTTTTCTAGATTATTATAGAGCAATAATAGTTCAAAAATAATAATTCAAAAAAACATAAATTGGGTTTTATTTTGTGAGGATGAAAAATCTTTTGAAGAGGAAGGCATTGTATTTTGATCCTGTTCAAAAGAAAATGGAAAACTAAAGTCATCTTTTCCAGCTCCAAATGTATGAGTTGAAGTGTCTGAGGGAAAAGAAAATGTGAAGGTATCTTCTCCTTCTGATTTCCCAAATAAGTTTCCTGAAGAATATAAATATTAAAATATCATTGTATTCATGTTATATGAAACTTAAATCTACTAGAGTACAGAGTACTGTACACAACAAATAGATGAACATTAAATCACTTATCTATCTAACAGATATTTAAATGTACTCTTCATATACACAAAGCATTGCCTTTGGTACCATGAAAAGGTACACTCCAACTTAAGCCCTACTTACAAATACTTTGAACTCAAGTGTGCAAAGAACTTGTATACATAGCAGGAAGTAGGGTAAGACATCTCAAGTAGAGAGAATAGCACATAGGCCCAGAAACAGGTGTGCACAGGAAATAGTAGGGTAACATAAATCCATTCAACTTAGCAGGATGCTGAATAAAATAACAAAGATATATTAAACAAGAATTAATGAAGATTGAGTTTGCAAAGACTACTGAATGTCTCACTAATGTAGACTTAAATAGATAACGGGAAAACATTAAGTATTTCTGAGCAAAGATATAACATAACTTAAACTGCTTTATTAGGTTACTTTGGAAAACATGAATAGAATGGGTGGAAAGGAACATCTAGAAATAGTGTAACTAAAAGGGGGAAATACATTATCCAGCTATTAATTATTGAGTAATTACAAAATATGCTTATAGCAGTGTTCAAAATCTTTGACAAATCTGTGAAGTTTTCCACTGTTTTGAAAGAAAATTTATAAATCACCTTCACGTGTAGATTTGCTTTATGTCAATTCTCATTCATTATTCATTATTTAAAGCCGAAAGCTGAAATATTTTTCAACATCTTTAAAACCAACTATTACTCAACAATTTAAAATCTATAGCAACACAAAGGTTTATTTGAAACAAGTGGCATAAAGCAACCAATATCAAATGAGCTCGCTAGCAGGATGAACTGATTAGCAGATGTTTGTGTTCCCCTACGCCCCTTTTTTATTTTGTTCTTCACTAATTTCATTTCATAAGACTTAGACAAGAATATACAGACTCAGAAAAAAATAAAGCCTTGAATTTCTCTTTGCATAAATGAGTTTTACTTTCTTTTTAAGAAGTTCCTATGAAGTTTTCATAAAATTCCTAAGCATTTTATAAATGATAGTCTATCACTGGGTAAGGCAGTATTTAGGTGCTCTGAGAAATTCAAAGGTAAATATAAAACAAGTCCTTGCCTTCAAAGTTCCAAAGGATGTTTTATATGTATTCATAAATACTTAGTGATATTATATAGAATATAAACATTATTTTAAAAAGAAGAGGTTCAGAAAAATAGAGATTCTTTTGGAGGGATGGAAAGTAAAAGTTGAAATAGAGGTTTTATGGAAGAGAAGTTAGTCTTTAAAGATAAAGATGGAAGTTAGAGGTTGTAAGAAACAAGCAGGTAAAAATGTCTGGGTATATTTGAGATATGCTGAACTCCTTGGTCTGATCAAAGCACAGGTAATTTGTTTTTGAAAAGAGCTTCAGTGTTATATTGAGGAACATGATAAATAAATGACAGTCAGTGAGAGCCACTTAAGTATCTGACTACGGCAGATAATAGAGTCAACATTATGCATAAAGAAGACGAAGCTGTGATCTAGAGGTAAGCTGAGAAGAAGAAAAGATCAATTAAGATGTCACTGTTGCTGGGTGGTGGTGGTGGTGGTGGTGGTGGTGCACGCCTTTAATTCCAGGACTCGGGAGGCCAGCCTGGTCTACAAAGTGAGTTCCAGGAAAGGTGTAAAACTACACAGAGAAACCCTGTCTCGAAAAACAAACAAACAAAAAGATGTCACTGTAATAGCCCATGTGAATGGTTATGAGTTGGAAACAATAATCTCAGAAAAAATTGAAAAAGAAGTATTTCCAAAAAAGAACTAATAAAACTTGATGACTAGTTGAATTTAGTGACAACAAAGAAAATCTAAAATTATCACTGATACTCTGAATCTTGGCAAGCATAACAATGGAGATACCACTAAGGATATCAGAAGGAGAATAGCTTTTATTTCAGATATACTGAGTTTTTAACGTCAAAAGATATCTTACATATAAAAAGCTTATGACTAGCCAATCAGAACTAAGGGCCCAGAGTTTGGAAAAAAAGTTTTAGCAACCACCAGTTTCCACTTGAATTATTTTAATCATGCTAATTATTTAATGCATGCTAATCATCTCCCTGCATTTACCCTTGTTTTTATACAGTGTTTTGTCCACACAGCAATCCACAGTAATCCTTAAAACAAAACAGAAACCAACCAAACAAAAACCTGTCAGAGCATTTCAGTCGTGTGCTCAAAACCCTGCAGTCGCTTCTTCCTGTTTCACTTAGAAGAAAACCCAAAGGTTTCAACGATTGAAAGGTTGCACATGATCTGCTCCTTCTCACCCTTCTGGTTTACTGTGCTGCACGAGTCTCCTTTCTCTCACCTGCTCTTCACTGAACCCCCAATCACGTTACCATGTCAACACCTCTTCACTGAACCCCCAATCACGTTACCATGTCAACACCTTTTCACTCTGGGCCTAGAATACTTTTTTAAGCAGCTACTACCTCTGTCTCCTCAGGTCTGTGTTCAAATGTCTTTCATTGATGTGTTCCTGAATGCCCTGTGGCACAGCAAGCATTTTCCTAAAGCAGGAATTTCCTAGTCTTCTTATTCTGGTTCATTTTCCTTCCTCGTATTTATGATCAATAATAAGGTTTAACTCAAGTCAGGGCTGAGTCAGGCCCACATAGAAAGATGACTTAAGAGTTTTACTTCTCAAAAAAAAAAAAAGAGTTTTACTTCTCATAATACCATTTTTCAAGAAAATACAGGATTGCTGGGCACTGGTGGCTCACACTTTTAATCCCAGCACTCAGGGAGGCAGAGGCAGGCAGATCTCTCAGTTTGAGGCCAGCCTGGTCTATAGAGTGAGTTCCAGGACAGCCACGGCAGTTACACAGTGAAACCCTGTCTCAAACAAAAACAAATGATTAAAAGGGACTAAATATGATAACCATTGCAAGATACCCATAATGTTTGATAATTGAGAAGTCAGCAGTACAGGAGGAAACAGCGTTGGCAAGTTGTGAAAGACGTTTCCGTGCTGAAAGAATGGAGAAGGAAGAGTGGAAAGGACAGGAGGATGGGAAAGGAGAACAGATCAGTTATGGACTGCTTTCTGTGTGAGGAGATTGCAGCACTGTCTCCTTAGTTAACACTGAGGGCCTAAAAGATCAACTGGAGATAAACCAAGTACCACGGAGGAGAATTAACATGTTTTATATGTAGAAAACTTCAAATCACTTACCAATTTCTTGTTGTGATGAAGAAGGATTTAGGTTTTCTTCAGAGTAATGTTCATTAAACTGGAAAATATTTTCATTAACTATTACTTGTGAAATTAAAAGAATAGTTTATATAGTAGCATTTATATTCGACACTAGAGTCTGGATTTTTTTTTAGCGTATAATATTAGAATAGACATGACAGTAACTTTCTACATAGATATCACAAAACTTAAAAAAAGTCTTTGGGCTCGGGATGTAGCTCAGTGGTAGAATCCTTGCTAAGCATACTGAGGTTCTTGGATCAATCTCTAGCACTAGATGGATATCATTTACTTATACTAAAACAAGGATTGGTCTGGAGGGTGTGACTCAGTGGTAGAGTGCTTGTCTGTAGCATTCCTGAGGCCTAGGGTTGGGTTCCCAGCACTGTAACAAATAAATAAATAAATGAAGCCTTTAATAACTTGATTATAGCAATATATAAAATATTTACACTTAGAGAATCATCCTAATATTTCTTCTGAATATTTTATGGTTAATATTTTTTAAATTTAAAACTTAAACTGTTAAGTCTTATTGGTGTAATGTATAAGTCCCTAATTTATTCTTACAACTAATGGTCCCACCTTTATCACATTCTAAATTCTTTTGTTTCAAGACTTTCTAGCCTATACCACTGAATTGGATCAGTCCTTATTCCTTTATCACACCACTTTGGTTACAGGTACGTTTATACAATTTTATGCACTTAGTTCTTATGTGTGTATATGTGTAGGGCACATGTGCCATGCTATATATGTGGAGGTCAGAGAACAACTTGTGGGGTCAGTTCTCTCCTCCCACCATATGGGTCCCAGGTCAAACATCCTGAGGCTTGAACCCACTCTTGAGCCATTTTACCCGCTGTTTTAATGTGTACAATGAGTTCCTTTCACCAATTTATTTTACAATATTTATGACTTATAATTATATTCTCTTAATTTCTAATAGAGGTAAGTGATCTTTTTTCTTTCCTTTTGACAATCTAGCTAGGAGTTGGTCAGTCTTCTTAATCATTTTCAAAGAATCAACTTTGGCTTTCTAATTTTCTGGGTTTTTTTTTCTAGCTCATTGATTTCTAGTGTTTCTTATTTCTTCATTCACTTTGGATTTACTTTGGTTTGTTGTTCTTTTTATATCTTTTCAAAAGAAAACCAATGATCATTAATTTTAGACTGTTCTTTTCTATTAATATTTGTTTTTATTAACTAAATTATCTAACTACCATCTTTGTTCTGACTGTGTTATCATTCTACAATTTTGAAATGCTGAATTTTCATAGTAAGTAATTCCAAAATCTTTTCTGATACCTGTCATGACTATTTTCTTGTCTCACAGCCTAAATGTTTAGGATTTTTCTAGGTATCTTATTAAGTTCCAACTTAATTGCACTGTGGTCAGAGAACACACTCTGATTCCAATACTTCTATATTTATCAAGATTCATTTAATGAACCAAAATAAAGCCTATCTTGTAATTATACCATTAGTGACTGAAAACTTAAGAGTTGTTGGATATGGTGTTTATCAAGATCAACAAGACCAAAGAGACTGATAATAGCATTCAGATCTTACAAGACACGTTTACTATGTTATCTAATTTTAACAACTGTTGAGAAAAGGGAGTATAAAACACACATAGTTAGGTATCTATTTACCTCTTATGTAAATCTTACTAATTATCCAATTAACTCATTAATTTCATTTCTTGCAATTGAACCCACAGCATTGTAAACACTAGGCAAACACTCCACCACTAAGCTCAATATATAGCTCTATATTACATGTTTTAAAGCTGTCCCTAGACATAAACCATATTTGTGAGTGGTGTATCTTCCTTATGAGTTGAACTTTTTATTTTTATAAATTATCTCTCATTTCTAGCAATGTCTTTATCATGAAGGGTACCCCAAGTGATCATGTAGCCTTCTGAGACTTAGAATTTTTATAAAATATAATTTCACACCTATTAACTTTCAACCTATCATCAGCTTTATATTGGAATAGGTATGTGTGTGTGTGTCTCTCTCTCTGTCTTTTTTTTTGTTTTGTTTCTGAGAGAGGGTTTCTCTGTGTAGCCCTGGCTGTCCTGAAACTCATTTCCTAGCCCAGGCTGGCCTCCAACTCAGAGATCTGCCTGCCTCTGCTTCTGGGTGCTGGGATTAAAGGCTTGTGGAAACACCACTGCCTTTATGCTTTCTTACTCAATTTCTTCTTTATTGTCTTCTTCTGGGTTAAATACTTGTTTAGAATTTCATTCTATTACCAGTTTTACTTTTGAGCATTCTCTTGATAATTCATCATGATTTGTCCTAAGAAATGTATTAATTGGATGGTCTCCTTCCCCAACTCACCACAACAAAACAAAATGAAACAAAAATTAAAAATACAGTTTTCCAGGATTTCTTTTTGTTGCTGTTGGTTTGTTTTTATTTTTAGAGACACGGTTTCTCTGTGCACCCCTGGATGTCCACTCTGTAGACCAGGCTGGCCTCGAATTCAGAGATTTACCTGCCTTGGTCTCCCAAGTGCCAGGATTAAAGGTGTGTGCCACTACTGCCCAGCTAATTTTCTAAGATTTCAATTATATTAAGATTAGATTACATTTAAATTACACTAAAAAGAAATAAATTTCCATAATGTTTCCTTCCTATGTAAATACCTCATGTATTTATGCTTTCAATAATTTTTCAGTGGTTTTATATTTTCTTTATGCAAAATGTATATGCTTCCTGCTGAAGTTATACATATTTAAATTCATGTTACTTGCTGTGGGATGTTCTGTATGTCAAATGTGTTGCTGATTGGTCAATAAATAAAACACTGATTGGCCATTGGCTAGGCAGGAAGTATAGGCAGGACAAGGAGGAGAATAAAGCTGGGAAGTGGAAGGCTGAGTCAGAGAGACACTGCCAGCCGCCACGATGACAAACAGCATGTGAAAATGCCGGTAAGCCACGAGCCATGTGGCAAGGTATAGATTAATGGAAATAGATTAATTTAAGCTGTAAGAAAAGTTAGCAAGAAGCCTGCCACGGCCATACAGTTTGTAACCAATATAAGTCTCTGTGTTTACTTGGTCGGGTCTGAGTGGCTGTGGGACTGGTGGGTGAGGGAGATTTGTCCTGACTGTGGGCCAGGCAGGAAAACTTAAGCTACAGTTACTATTGTAAAAAACAATTTAGTTCTTGTGGTCTGTTTTTTTCATGTCTAGACATTCCTTTTACAAACTGTTTATGAAATAAATGTATACATAATAACAAAAGCTAAACATATTAAATATATAAAATGTATAATACCATATCTTCTATCAATAAATTTGTAATTTTTTCAATTTAATATATTGTAACAAAAACTTAAGCCACATAAAATGCTAGGTATGATTATTTAAATGAGCAATAGCAAGAAAATATTTACATTTGTACAACATAGCATTAGTGAGTGGTACTTTTGAAAATCCTTTATGTGTATAAATTCATTTAATATTCATAAACTCTATGGCAGCCACTGTCATTATTTCTATTTTATAGATAAGGAATTTGAATTATTCTCACCAATTTCATACTCTACATGTCCAAGTACTGAACGAGTTAATATTGAGTTTAATTGCTAAATTCAGAAGTAAACAATTTATAGTGATTTGCATCACTGAAAAGTAGCAACACTGGTACAAGTTCTTCAGGTCTTTTAAAATTAATAAATGAAGTGTTGCCATATACATACATAACTGAAAACACTAGTATAACACAATAGCATTATGAATTAAATGAGAATATGTAGTTTATTTTTACACTTAAAATATGTAACACATTAGTTATAAAACCAATCTCATTTTAATCTGCCTTTAACTACAATTGAGATCATCCCTATCTTAAGGTTTTTCTTTTATTTGATTTGGGTGCTGGAAATCAAGCTCAGGACCTCATGAACAGTAGGCAAGCACTCTACCACTATGTGAGCCATATCCCAGGCAGAGATTTTCTAGATTTACTTTTATTTCTGTGTATTCCTGTGTAGATGCATGTGTGCCATGTATGTACAGATGCCCTTGGAGGCTGGAAGAGGCTGTTGGCTCCCCTGAAACTGGAGTTTCAGGAGGTTGTGAATCCTGACATAGGTGCTAGAAACTGAACTCGGGTCCTCTGAAGGGCAGCAAGTGATCTGAACTGCTGAATCATCTCTCTGGCCTCAAGATTTTCTTTTAATAAATAAATATGAATCTGGCTTGTCTGAAGTTAAGAATGAAAAAGCAGTAAGGAATTTTTCTATACTCTCAATACTCAGAACGTTTTTCCATGCTGGAGGTGTCCCCCAGCCTCAAGGACACTAGTCAAACACTATCCCACTGAGTTATATCTATAGCATTTTTTAAAAAGTTGCCTCTGTAAATATTCTGTCCCAAGAAAGCTTGGTATTAAAGGACTAAAACTGCCTAAAGCTCCGATGTACAGTTTTTAGAAATAAATCACATTACCTGATCTGATGAGATTTCTGGATCAGATACAGAAGAATCAAATAAATTTAGTCCAGGTGATCTAGAAGAATAACTCATAAGAAATGAGAATCCAGGAGAATCCTTTTGTTTTTGTCCTTCAGGTCCTACATTTCTAGTTCTGTTACAGAACGATTTAAAAAATCATCAAAATGTTAAAAATGTATTAGTAAACAATGCAGACTGGGAATCACTATAAGCAATGGCATACAGGTAAGAATTTGTAAACAAAGGTTGGAGGTGGGTTTCAAAGTGACAAACTTATGGAGAAAGGATGGTTTGAGTAGGGAATATAAAAATCATTCTGGGGGTAATAACTGTCAATTCTTTTTTTTTTTTTTTTTTTTTTTTTTTTGGTTTTTCGAGACAGGGTTTCTCTGTGTAGCTTTGCGCCTCTCCTGGAACTCACTTGGTAGCCCAGGCTGGCCTCGAACTCACAGAGATCCGCCTGGCTCTGCCTCCCGAGTGCTGGGATTAAAGGCGTGCGCCACCACCGCCCGGCTAACTGTCAATTCTTACCGAGAAATGTTGTCAGCACTATTCTAGATATTTACATACATGTAATTTACTTCTGCAACAATCCATCAAAACAAAGTATTGCTGTTATCACTTTTCATTTTACAGCAAGTAATTTTGAAGTTTAGAAATGTTAAGTGATTTGCTTAAAAAAATAGTGAGTGCCTAAGTTGAAATTTAGATGCAGCCATTCACATTCAAAATGTAAGTTCTCATCTCTGACACTGTCTTCAAGATCTTGAAAACTAGACATGAGACACGTTTTAATAAGAAGTCAGACATTACAGAATGTTTAGATAAGAGAAGATAAACTATAATGACCTGGAAAAATAATTAAACAAGACAGTATAAAATATAGATCCAGAATGGTCTAAGTTTAAAATCTCAACTTTAAGCCAGGTGGTGGTGGCTCATGCCTTTGATTCCTGGCTGTCCTTGAACTCATTCTGTAGAACAGGCTGGCCTCCGACTCAGATCTGCCTGCCTCTGACTTCCAAGTGCTGGGATTAGAGGTGTGCACCACCACCACCCAGTTTATAAAATGTAAAAAAAAAAAAAAAAAAAAAAAAAAATGGAATGTACCTCTGGTCAGTGTTTACTTAGCATGAGTGAGGTCTTAGGTTCACTCCCCAGCATCCCCAACCATATAAATAAATCAATGTATAGTTATATATTATATCTAAGTCTGACAATACTGCCACAGCAATCTCTATGATCATAACTGAATCACATACCTTTACAGACCATAATGTTCTCACCCACAGAGTTTCAGCATATAATACAACATTCATTCACAATTTTAGGATTTGATGGTAAGTTCTGTTTTGAATACATTTTGCTTGAGTCAAATGCATGGCATTCATACATAAAATTCTTACTAACAATTTAAGATACATGAGTAGAACACAGGTGAGTAATACCTGATGAAGCACAATCTGACTTAGGTCTAAGAGGGGCTTAGGGTTCAATGTTAAGGGACAGTCTGAACAGAAGCCAAAGGCTAAATTCAGCATTGCTTTCTTGGCTGCAAACCCTCAATCAGCGGTTTCCAAGGCTGTATATTTATATTAGAGACACTTAGTCTTAAGAAAACGGGAACTCATGCTTCAGACATGCCACATGGAAACTGACTTGAAGCATTACTCAATAAGTAGTCACAACTCCTTTATGTATCAGTAGTTCTTGAGCTTGACACTAAAATTTTTCCACGTATTTATCCTCTGTAAAATCTGAAACCTACATACTGTCACAGTGGCTACTCAGTATCTGTATCCTCTTCACTTTACCATCAAACCCCAAACAAACAAACAAACAAACTAAAAACAGGGAGTGGAGTCTATGAAACAACAACAGTAGAACACTAACAGCTGTACAAACAGGTAGATGGGTACACGGTCTCTCCCTTGTTTTCATGACTGAAATACTAAAATCTTTTCAAGTTCTAATTAAGTAGGTATTTTACTACTCCTATAAATTACTTATATAACTCAATGTATAAATAATTCAATTAGAATTATTAATAAAAATCCTACATTTCAAAGAAGGGGCTTTTAGGGAACTGCATTTTCTCCACAGATTCAGGTGTCTTCATAGTTTCCGGAGTTCTTGGAAATAAAGGAGTTTCAGGAGTTTGTGGGAAATTCTCAGTCCTTTCTTCTTCACCACTATTATTTTCTATTGGCTTTCCAAAGTGTTCTATGTACACGGCCTGCAGATGGAAGGTAACACACCACTTTCACAATGACTGTTACTACTTAATAAAAAACACCCATATAATGCATAAGGTAGGACGCACATTAGCCTGTTATCACTTCACAGATAAGGAAAGTAAGAACTGGTGAAGTAACATATATACTCAAAAAATAGAAAAATAAAAAAAATAAAAGTTATTTTGTCAGTAAAGTCTTTTCTTTCCAGCCCCATCTCTCTTACCTCTACATGAAAAGAGTAAATGATAACCAAAACATACTGAAATTGACAGAAAATACTGAGGAGTGGTTTTTCTTTTAAATATCCACGTTATATTCTGCTAACTCCTTGAAAAGGAAATTTATTTTTAAGCAATTTTTGTTTATTGCTTTATGCTATAATCTGGATCTGTGTTGAAAGCTTAAGTCCCAGCATGGTATTACTAGGAGGTAGGATCTGAGAGTTCTTTTTCTTTTTTTTTTTTTTTTTTTTTGTTTGTTTGTTTGTTTTTCGAGACAGGGTTTCTCTGTGTAGCTTTGCGCCTTTCCTGGAACTCACTTGGTAGCCCAGGCTGGCCTCGAACTCACAGAGATCCGCCTGGCTCTGCCTCCCGAGTGCTGGGATTAAAGGCGTGCGCCACCACCGCCCGGCTTCTTTTTCTTTTTTTAAAAGATTTATTTATTATGTATACAGTGCTCTGCTGCATGTACCCCTGTAGGCCAGAAGAGGGCACCAGATCTCATTATAGATGGTTGTGATCCACCATGTGGTTGCTGGGAATTGAATCAGGACCTCTGGAAGAGCTGCCATGTTCTTAACCCCTGAGCCATCTCTCCAGGCCCCAGATCTGAGAGTTCTTTAGCTCATGGTGGGTGGGATGCTCTGAAAGGGACTGTGAGATCTATTCAAAAAAAATTCCTGGCCATAGATGAGGGCTTGACTCTATTGTGCACTCTGTCATGATATGTGTACGATAGTGGCCCAAACAACGGGACCAACTACTCATGAGCTCTTAGACTACAAACTGTAATAAACCTGTCCTCATAACTTATCCAAGGTAACTGTGTTTTAATGTGAATATTAACAGACAATTGCCTACTTGGTTTTTTTATTTTTTGCCATTCTAATTTATGCTACTTTATCCCTAAAGATTGAGAACCTGAATACTTTTTTAATCTCATTTTTGTACAAACACACACACAAACAAGAGAGAGAGAGAGAGAGAGAGAGAGAGAATGAGAATTATCATATATGATTATTATCATATATGATTATACCAAATCCTATTACAGAAACAATATGGGTCTGTGTAAAAAAATTATAATTGCTCATTACCTGTATTTCCTTTACAGTAGATTACTACTTCATCATTTCTCATTTTAATCCTTGGTACCTTAGTCTGCATCTGTCATCATTAAAGCTTTCCACTACACTATATCATCAAGATACTTTCATGGTAACCACTGGTCTTGAATTGCCATCACAAATCATTCAATCACGTCAAAATTATTTTCTTCAATCATGAATTGGTTTCTATCTCAATATGTATCATCACTTATGAGTAACAATTTCTTAGTATTTGCTCATATAGATTTTTGTGTATTCTTTTTTTAATCTGGAAAATAAATTTCTAACTTCCTAGAACCTGACTTCCAAGCTAATAAATAATCTTAATTGTAATAAATCTAAAATTTAAACGGTCACAGAATATCTTTTAAATTAGGATGCTATGCTTAAAAACTAAAAACCTAAGATTTGACTTACCTGTGGAGTACTTTTTGATTCTCTTAGTTGTCTTCCTGTCTCTTTATTTCCACACTCAGCATCTATTGGTTATACAAGAATGAACTACTTCATTTATGCAATTTCATTATGAAATTAAACAATTTACTCATCTGCTTTAAAATGTCATGCTACATTATACATATATCTTATGTCTTTCTTTTGTTTAGCATATGTGTGCACAATTCTCCATATCACTGCATGTAGACATAGTTTTATTACTGGTACAAATATTCCATATATCAATGCATTCTACAACAAATGGCATTTTTATGTGCATTCCATATTTATATTTCTCTAAATATATCTAAGGTATAATTATGAGACAAAGAGTATGTGTATCTCCCAATATCATGTGTCAAACTTTTCCAAAAGGACTGTATCAACTTTGGCTGTGATAACTAGTCATTGTAAAAATCATGAGGTCTCGGAAAATGAGTACTATCTTAGTGGTTTCAATATACAGTGATCTATTAATTACGGTTCATATCACTAGCATATGAAAGCCCCTACTGTTCAACACTCTTATGAATATGAATATGAATATGGGTAGACTTTTTAGATTTGCTAATCAGGTAGATGTGTAACAGTATTTCACTGTAGCATTACACTTCCATGATTTGCTAATCATCATTTCATGTTCATCTGCCAGAAAAGTATCTTTTGAAGTGTCAATTCACATATTTCTATTTTCTAAGTTTTAAATTTTTTATCTTTGCATGTCTGTGTAGATATTCACATGCATATGAGAGTGTGTGTGTGCGCGCATGTGGAAGTCAGAAGACAGTGTTGACTGTCAATCACTGCCTTTAATCTTGCTTGAGACAGGCTTTCTTTTTTATGGCTACACATGCCAGGCTAGTGGGCCTACAAATTTCCAGGGACTGTCCTGTCACCACCTTCCAGCTCACCACAGCACCACTGAAATCACAGACACATGCATCCAACTTTCTTTGAGTTCTAGGGATCCAAACTGAGGGCCTCACCTCACACTTGCATACCAGTGCTTGCTTTACCTACTAAGCCACCCGAGCCTCAATCCTGACATATTCTAATTGAATTGTCTGCGTTTATCTGCTTGGTTTGTAAAAGTCCTTTATACTTTGTGGAACTACTCTCTGGGTAGTTTTATGTATTACAAATAAATCCTTTGGCTTCATGACTCATTTTCTTCCTTTTTATTGTATCCCTTTTTTAGATTTTAGATTTTATTTTTATTTTACAGTGCACACAAGAGGTCAGGAGAGGGTGTTGGATCCTCTGGAACTGAGTTACAGATGGCTATCAGTGGCCATATGGGTGCTGGGAACCAAACCCAGATCTTCTCTGCAAGAGCAACAAGTGCTCTTAACCTCTGAACTATCTCTACAGCCTCCTTTTTATTGTATCTTTGGAGAAACAGTTTTTTATTTTAATGTAACAAATGATCAGTTCTTTATTAATTAAGCTCTTAATTATTATTTAAGAAATCTTTTTCTTGAGATTGGAAAGATGGCTTAGTAGTTAAGAGTGAGTACTACTCTTACAGAGGACCTGAATTTGGTTCCCAGTACAGGGCAGCTCACAACTGCCTGTAACTATAGCTCCAGAGGATCCAACACCTTCTGGCCTCTGTGAGCACCTGCACTCATGTGCACACACCCACACTCTGACACACACATATACATAATTAAAAATAAATCAAAAGGTAAATAAATCTTTAACAATTGGAAATGCCTTTCTTGAAGTCACGATTGAATCTACCTATCTTCTGTAAGCTTTGTACCTTTTGCCTCTTGCATTTAAATCACAACTATTACTTTTACCACATATTAATTTCCTCAAATTATAGGTTTAGGGACTGTTGAAAGTCTTTATTTTTCTCTAAAATAATTACATGTCTTCTTGAGTATGAAGCCTCATTACACATGCTTAACACAGGTAGGACTGTGCCAATTATATCTATATTTCCCAACATCTCTTTGTCAAAGGTGCATTGTTCTTAAGGGATTAGCTATTCCTTCTTGTCTAATGCAATCAGCTTAGCTTATGAAGAGGATTATAAACAGCTGGAGCAGATCACAAGCACAGGAATGGCTAATGGTTTTTTTCTCTTAAAAGAAAGCAAAGAGAGTACTCAGCTGTCTAGGATGCACATGTTGTTTCAGTTGAACCATATAAGAGAAGTGAGAAAAATAGACTGACAGAATATGACTATTCAGAAAATATATGCATCTACAAATATTTTAGAGATTTATTTTTATTTATATTTATGAGTATGTATCTAAGTGAATGTATGCCATATGTGTGCCAGCCTAAGGAAACCAGAAGAGGCCAATGATCCCCTGGAACTGGAATTACAGGTGGTTGTAAGTTGTCATTGTGGGTACCAGGAACTGAACTTGAGTCCTCTGGAAGAGCTGATGTACAACTCTTAACCACCGAGCCATCTCTCCACCCCCAATTGACAAAATTGTATAGTGTCAAAATGACTCATTGTAAAACTTCAAAAAAGTAAAAAAAGTGATGATTTCTATATAAGCATGATACAGGGAATAATGTAACTCATTAATAGGTTACTAAAATATATATGTACATGCATAAGGTATACAATATACAAACATATAATCATACGTGTATACTTTTGTAACTACACATCCATGCATATACACCCAAATACAGATATTTGGAAAAGATAAATACTCTCCATTGTATGCTACAGTTCTAACAGTTAAGTTGATCTTGGAGAAATAAGCTGTGTGTGTGTATATATATCCTGTGACCTTTCTATGATGTTCAGCCCAAGAAAATAGTCAAAGCACCAAAAATTAATATAAAATATAGAAGATATTATTTACAGTAGCAAAAAAACCTGGAAACAAGAAGATATTCAATGTGTGAGAATAGCTGAAATCCACTATTCAATGGAATAGTATGTAGTCATTACAAATAAAATTAATGATATGAAGAATAACCTCATGTCATCTTTTGTTTGTAAAGACTGTATATTGTTGAGTAGGGAAATGGGATATAAAGTACATATATTGTATAATTCAAATTTTGGGGGATAGAGAACAAAATGTACCTGTGTATTAAAAAAAAGACAAGACTATACATCAGGATGTATTATGTCAGTTATGTCTGGTTAGTGATATTTTGTTTCCTTTATATTTTTCTGTTTTCCAAATTTTCTACAAGGCAATGTATCCATTTTATTTTCTGATTAAAATATATTTTTTAAAGATGTATTATGTGTACAGTGTTCTGTCCGAATATATGCCTGCAGGCCAAAAGAGGGCGCCATATCTCATTACAGATGGTTGTGAGCCACCATGTGGTTGCTGGGAATTGAACTTAGGACCTCTGGAAGAACAGTCAGTGCTCTTAACCTCTGAGCCATCTCTCCAACCCTAAAATATATGTATGTATGTATGTATGTATGTATATATGTGTGTGTGTGTGTGTGTGTGTGTGTGTGTGTGTGTGTGTGTGTGTGTGTATGTATGTGTGTGTATACATATTGGTTTTTTGGAGACAGGGTTTCTCTGTGTAGCTTTGCGCCTTTCCTGGATCTGCTCTGTAGACCAGGCTGGCCTTGAACTCATAAAGATCCCCCTGGCTCTGCCTCCCAAGTGCTGGGATTAAAGGCGTGCGCCGCCGCCGCCACCACCACCCGGCCTAAAATATATTCTTTTTTTTTTTTTTTTTTTTTTTAATTTATTTTAATTTATTTTGCAATACAATTCAGTTCTACATATCGGTCACGGATTCCCTTGTTCTCCCCCCTCCCGTCCCCCTCACCTTCCCCCCAACGCCCCCCCCCCCCCATTCCCATCTCCTCCAGGGCAAAGCCTTCCCCACAGACTGAGGTCAACCTGGTAGACTCAGTCCAGGTAGGTCTAGTCCCCTCCTCCCAGGCCGAGCCAAACAATCCTGCATAGGCCCCAGGTTTCAAACAGCCAACTCATGCAATGAGCACAAGATCTGGTCCCACTGTCTGGATGCCTCCCAAACAGATCAAGCCAATCAACTGTCTCACCCATTCGGAGGGCCTGATCCAGTGGGGACCCCTCAGCCATTGGTTCATAGTTCATGTGTTTCCATTCATTTGGCTATTTGTCCCTGTGCTTTATCCAACCTTGGTCTCAACAATTCTCGCTCATATAAACCCTCCTCATTCTCGTTAATTGGACTCCCAGAGATCCACCCAGGGCCTAGTCATGGATCTCTGCATCCAGATCCCTCAGTAGTTGGATGAGGTTTCTAGCACAACAATTAGGGTGTTTGGCCATCCCATCACCAGAGTAGGTCAGTTCGGGCTGTCTCTCGACCATTGCCGGCAGTCTGTTGTGTGGGTATCTTTGTGGATTTCTGTGGGCCTCTCTAGCACTTTGCTTCTTCCTGTTCTCATGTGGTCTTTATTTACCATGGTCTCCTATTCCTTGTTCTCCCTCTCTGTTGTTGATCCAGCTGGGATCTCCCGCTCCCCCAAGCTCTCTTTCCCTCGACCCTCGCCTTTCATTACCCCCACTCATGTCCAGGCTGTTCTAAAATATATTCTTAAACCACATACATATCTATTAACCAGAGATGAAAACATTCAGATAATTTATTTAATATAAAAACTGGTAAATTCTGTTGTTTAAGAAAAATATAAACAGGAAATACCTATATGTCCTTTTTCAATCCATTGACTGTAATTTGATTGATTCAATCTAAAATACAACAAATATAATTTTTATTATTTCAGAGTCAATATTTACAAGTTATCTCAGAGACTATAATGTTTCTTTTCCTTGAGAGAGGCAGTTCTAGGAACTGAAAGTAGACAAATACACTAGCGCTGAACCATACCCCAACCCTTTGGGCATTTTCTTATTTTTAAAAATTACCTGAATTGCATAAAACCTTGTGAATTTTTAACAGCTGTAACATGTGAACATTTTGAACTACTATCCATATCAGAGTAATTAAATATCTGAAAGAAAAAATTAAGCATTAGATTTCCTATATAAATAATAATCATGTATCATAGCTACATTGAGGTCTCTAATTACATTAGTATTTCATTCTCATAATCATCACCATTATCAATATCTACAACTACATACATTAATTGAAATAACTACATAGGAATCACAAAGGCATATATACTGAGAAACAAAAAGGTTTAGGATTCTTAAATAATTTGATGTTTTTGACAAGTATGCCAACTATTTGTGGTCTTTCCACATTTAAAGTAGACTTTTAAAATTATCCATATTCATTAATCAAATATTAGAATATTATTGTTTTCTTTATTGACTACTCCATTTCTATGTCCTTTTAAAAACATTTATGAGGTGATACAAATGTTCTGGGATCAGTGGTGACAGTTGTACAACCTGTATGCTAAAAATCATTGAACTCAAACTTTTAAATAGTAAATTTTATGGATGTGAATTATGCTTCAAAGAAACATATTTTACTTTGTAAGCAAAAAGCGAATTAATTTTTTTGATGGCTGGCAGTCTTTGTAGGATCCTCTTATGGTTCTTTAAAAATCTCTCTCAGCTGGGCCGTGGTGGTGTATGCCTTTAATCCCACCACTCAGGAGGCAGAGGCAGGCAGATCTCTTGAGTTCAAGGCCAGCCTGGTCTACAGTGCGAGTTCCAGGACAGTCAGGGCTACACAGAGAAACCTTGTCTCAAAAAACCAAATAATAGTAAGAAGAAGAAGAATAAAGAAGAAGGAGGAGAAGGAGAAGAAGTCAGCAGCACCAAGGCTGAGCAGTCTGACGCACTCCTGAAAGCTTTGCTGGAGTTCCCCTGAGAACCCGAGTCTAGGTCTGCATGCTGAGAGGAATAAGGGAGAAGGATAACAATCGCTACTAGAGATTGCACTTGTTCACCTGGGAGACTATACACCTGTGTTTTCCTTTATTTACTTTTCAGGCCTGTTTATAACTTACATTGCCTTACATAAATATTCATCTTATCCTAAATTTAGTGGTAAAAAGTCTTACATAGCATTCTCTCGGTATTTTAAAAAAATTATCTTCCACATTTAGGATGATCTTCTGTTTATCCAGAAGATAAACAAACTTATCTTTCCTTTTGTCTCGACTATGTTAGGGGGAGGACTGCTGGCATCTTATTGATAGTTAAAGTATGTTAGCTTTGATCAGATTTATCAACCCAACCTTTTAATATCACTAATTTTTGCTTTTCTGGTCACTAATCTTTATTGTGAGCATTTTGAAGTAGAAATACTTGATATTTAATTTTTTTCACTTTCTAATGTTTGTTTTTAATATACATCTTGCTCTGAGAACCAGTCTGTTTCAGGTTTTATAGTATTTTGTTAAATCTTATAAATTCTATTTTGATTTCTTCTATAATTCCCCAAATACCTTGGAAGTATGTAAATTTCTTTTCCCTTGGGCGGCCTAGCTTTCCCAGGAAAGGCTCTTTTTTTCCCTCCTGAGACAGGGTCTTACTATGTGGCCCTGGCTGCCCTAGGACTTGCTATGTAAACCAGGCTGGCCTCAAACTCACAGAGACCTGTTTTGCCTCTGTTTCTTGAGTGTTGCAATTAAAAATTATCTACAACTACAGTGAAATGGTTCTTTTTGTTTGACTTCTATCTTTCATTATGACAAGACAGCAATTATTAACCAATTATTTAGAATTAGTTAAGATAAGTGGTGTGTGTGTGTGTGTGTGTGTGTGTGTGTGTGTGTGTGTGTGTGTGGTTGTGTGTGCGAAAGAGAGAGAAAATTGAGTTTGAGACCAGTCTACACTATATCTCAAGACCCCGTCTCTCTGTTTCTCTCCATATATGTGTGTGTGTGGTGTGTGTGTGTGTGTGTGTGTGTGTGTGTGTGTGTGTGTATGTATGTATGTATTTGGGGGGGGTAGGGAAACGGCTTTTGGTAAGTGCACTTGGAGGACCTGGGTTTGAATTCCCAGCACCCACATAAAAGTTGGGCATGGGAGGCTGAGACAGGCAGGTCCCAGGAGCTCAATGGCCAGTTAGTTTATCTGAACCATCAAGCTTCAGATTCAGCGAGAGACCTTGTCTCAATGGAATAAAGCAGAGAGTGAGAAACACCCCACTGCTGTGGTTCACAGGCCTTATTGTTAGGTAGGAATATTATTTGCTTTTCTCCGTTGCCAGCTTAAATATCATCTTTGAATACTAAGAGAACTTGTTTTCAGCAAGGAGACACCCAGGTCAGACCCAGCTCAACCCTTCCCAGTCCTGTATGGAAATGCATGGTGTCTTCAGCAACAGGGTCTTGAACCTCTAAGCTCTGGGAGTCAACCAAGAGCAACAGCAACAATCTATTTCACTGCAGGAGTCACATTTTTCTCTCTTTGTGAATTCATGTCACCAGGCCTGGTGGCGCACGCCTTTGATCCCAGCACTTAGGAAGTAGAGGCAGTCAGATCTCTATGAGTTCATGGCCAGCCTGACCTACAAAGAGAGTATCAGGACAGCAGGGGCTATTACACAGAGAAACCCTGTCTCTAAAAACCAAGAAAAAAATGTTAATTGTCTCTGATATTTTTTTTAGTGACAGAAATCCCTATGAAACAGTGTGGTTGGGCTGGAGAGATGGCTCAGAGGTTAAGAGCACTGCTTGCTCTTCCAAAGGTCCTGAGTTCAATTCCCAGCAACCACATGGTGGCTCACAACCATCTGTAATGAGATCTGGCGCCCTCTTCTGGCCTGCAGGGATATGTGCAGAAGAACACTGTATACATAATAAATAAATAAATCTTTAAAAAAAAAAAAAAACAGTGTGGTTGGTACAGCCTGTGCAATCAGTACTGTAATGAAGGGTTTAGCAGATATTTCTCAAAAGTTCTGGTCTACTAACTACCAGGCCTGGTATTTTTAAAAAATATTTTATATTGCCGGGTGGTGGTGGCGCACGCCTTTAATCCCAGCACTCGGGAGGCAGAGGCAGGCGGATCTCTGTGAGTTTGAGGCCAGCCTGGTCTCCAAAGCGAGTTCCAGGAAAGGCGCAAAGCTACACAGAGAAACCTGTCTCAGAAACCAAAAAAAAAAAAAAAAAAAAAAATTTTATATGATATTTAGTCACAAGGGGGAAGTTTATATTGAATGCCGTACTGGAAACTCTTGAACATTTTAGACCATGAGGTAATAGCAGTGGCTAATTTATTATGTACATGCATGTATACACAAGTACACACATACATCCTTGTATCCTACCTACATTTATTATCTCATTCAATGTAAACATTTATGCTATTAAAAACAGGAAGACGGCCGTGGTGGTGGTGGCGCACGCCTTTAATCCCAGCACTTGGGAGGCAGAGCCAGGCGGATCTCTGTGAGTTCGAGGCCAGCCTGGTCTCCAAAGCGAGTTCCAGGAAAGGCGCAAAGCTACACAGAGAAACCCTGTCTCGAAAAACCAAAAAAAAAAAAAAAAAAAAAAAAAAACAGGAAGACATACCTGTGAGTCATTTTCTTGTCTCAAATCACTACTAGCAAACTTTGACTGATTGACTGAATTTTCTTCTTTTTTATCTAGATTAAATATATTACTTCAAATTAATTCTGAAGACAAAAACCAATCATGATCTCAAACTCATTGCCTCGTATATGCTAAGCTCACACTCACACTCTGCCACTGAGCTACATACCCGGACCCAGCCATCATCTCTCTAACATTTAATCACAATTTATACTTTGGCAAATCAAGTTTATAAGATTATTTAGCTTAAAATATGAAATTACTTCAAACCTTTCATTCACTTCTACATACTAGTTATTACAATAATCATGAATGTGAAATGACAAAATGGACATGTGACAAAACTACTCTCTTAAAATTGATTACTAAAGGCAGAGTAGTGACATTAATGAAGAAAAAATTAAAACAGTGTAGTCAAAGTAATACAACGCGATTACTCCGCAGACCCTTGAATGAAACCTGACTTCAACATTTCAGCGACTAGCACTAGATCACAACAGCTATCCCTTTACTGGAGAGCTGGTCATCCTCTTCTGACATTCGTGCTACCGGACTATATGACACTTGGAAAAAACATTACACAAATGATTTCCTTCTCAAAAATGAAAAAGAAAAGCTATGTGTACAAGTCATATCCTGTTTGCACTCAGAAGACTTAAAATGGAACTTTCCCAGGCCTACAGGTCTTCAGTATTGTTTGTCACTGCTTACACCAAGTGATAACTAAAATTAATGTTATTTCCTCGCTGTCAAGAAAAAATTAGGTTTCTGAATGATAAATTCTGTACCTGTAACTCTTGGTTCTGAAGAATGCATCTTTATTCGTCTTACAAATTTCTGAGACTCACAAGGTAGTAGTAACTGGCTACTTTGAGAGGATCTGTTCAATACATGCTCATCTTTTTCAAAAATTCTGAAGAGAAGAGTTGACATTTACTATTAGCTAAGTAAAAATTAAATTTAAACCCAGAAGGGATATTTAGATACTATACAGTTAAAACTCTTCACTTTTGCAGATCATGATACTAGGTCTGCAGAGCATTTAACAGACTTTATCACTAGTATTAAATGACTTAGTAATAGGGAGTGCCAGTATTGTCTGATTAAGTCCAATGCTCTTCTCAGTATACTATACTCTTCCTTTTAAACACAATCATTTTAAAGAAGATCAAAACTATTTTATACACTTTCACTATAAATAACATGTTTTAGATTTCAGAGTACTTCAAATTTTAAAAAGATTTATTTAGAAACAAATCAACTATCATAAATACAGAAATTATTAAAGTAATAAAATATTATAGTCATAAATGTGTCTTTTAATATTTTTACTGTAAGAATAACTTCACTGAGTTTTTTTCTGAATCAAATGAGTATAAAACACTATCAAAAATACATTATTCTCCTTTTCTGAAGAGAAGATACACTCTGACCCCAACCTTCAATGGCTGCCTAAACCACAGCTAGTACTAAAGTTTACATATATTATACCTTTCCCTATACATAGAAACATACATACACATACTCAATGTCTTTTCCATCTTAACTAAGAAATCATTACACACTGTAGCTATAACTTCTGCATTAAGGTATGAGAGTAAAAGTAGTATTTATTTCTTCCTTCTTCAGAGTTTCACAGATAAATTTGGTATCATAAATCTTAACAAGCAAAGTGTATTCTTGTTTTCTTTCCTTAAGTTGAAAGCTATCACTTAAAAAAAAAAAACACTTTACAGCCTCTCTCCGACATATCACAATTACCAGCATTGCTACTCTTATATGCAGGAGCCATTTTAAAAATAAGGGTGACTCTGGGCATAAATACTAGGATATCACCACACTGATCTGGTAACTAAGAAGGATACTAAACAACCAACAAGCAGGTAGTGTAGCTAACACTGACTCCCTGGACAAAGCAATGATTCGCATCTTATATGGAAAGGAACAGAATGGCATGAGACTTCATCATACTATTCAGAATAGTGTTCAATATTTCTGGAATTTTCCATTTAATATTTTCAAATCATGACTGGATATGAGTAACTGAAACAATGGAAAGCAAAAACATGAGTAGTAAAATAGCATATACTGAGTAAAAACGGCTAGGTGGTTATATTAGTTCCTCTTAATATAACACATTTTTATAATATTCAAGTGTTCATAAAATAAAATTCTATATATTTGCAAATTTCCCAATAAATTTCATCATAAAATTAATGACAAACTCTCAGGAAGTAATATGTAGGAGTGAAGGCATCAATAAAACAGTTCCAAAGTAGGATCAGGGAAACTAACTCAGGAGGGGAGTATGTTGGGGATAAATAATAAAGTCCGAGGAGTGAAAATAGGTTATATGCAGAAGCCAAAAAGAAGAAAGTTGATCAGAAACAGCAACAGTAGTACACGTATTTTCCCCTCCTACAGTAACAGGTAAAATCAAGGTGTCTTTAATGCCTCCCTGATGCCTTGTATCATCTCCACAAATATCAGTGAAAACACACAACGCTACAGACTCAGAAGAATGTGGGGTTTAATCTTCACTTCCTTCACTGAGGTAAAGGAAGAACTAGTCATGCTGGTGAATAGTCAAGTGAAAAAAAAAAAGGGTAAAAACAGTGCTTCTCTACTGTTTAACTCTTGTGTCCTACCACAGGAACTGGATACATTTTTTGAACACTGACAAGTTATAGAATAGATGAACTAGGGAGGTAGAGGCAGGTGGATCTCTGTGAGTTCGAGGCCAGCCTGGTCTACAAAGCAAATCCAGGACAGCCAGAGCTGTTACATAGAGAAACCCTGTCTCAAATAACAACAACAACAAAAGGAACAGATGAGCTGCTCTTACCCTATTTCTTGTTGTATGATAGCTTTGGTCTTCCTAAACAACAACTAAGGATATTAGTTTGCAACATTTAAATAAATAATATTTTAATAAAATTAATAGAAAAATAGCTTGCATAAAATTTTATCAGATACAGACTCAAAATTTTAGCTGCAGAATATCTATTCACATTAAATTCATTTTTAAAGTTTACCTATACCTTTCTTTAAATTCTTTTCTCTTTTCTGTATTTTTATTCTTTTCTTCTAGAGCTTCTGAAAAATTCTTTCTTTCAAAAAGTCTTGCAATCTGCTAAAAAGAAAAATGAGATAAAATAATTAACTTCATGTCAGCTCACACTTGCACCCACATACAAGCTAGGTATAAGGGTGTGAGCCTGTAATCCCAGTACTGGAGAGGTGAAGACAGTCGGATCTCTCAAGCTCACTAGCCAGTCAGTCAAGCCAAATGGATGTACTTCGGTTTCAGGTGGAGAGGATTTGAGGAAGATACCCAATATTGACCTCTGGCCTCTATGTATGCACACGCACACGCACACGCACACGCACACGCACACGCACACACACACACACAGAGAAAGAGACAGAGAGAGACAGAGAGATAGAGAGAGACAGAGACAGAGACAGAGGTATCGTTCAGAACAGTCAGACATATATACTTTTCTTAATTAATGAATATCATTGTTTTTCTAGAACCTCAAATTTGTATTTTTGGTAGTATTAGTGAAAATTGCTATGTCATGGTTGGAGAGAGGGCTAATAGTTAAGAACACCTGCAGCTCTTACAGGGGACCCAGGTTCAGTTCCCAGCATTTAGATGATGGCTCACAACCACCCATACTCCAGTTCTAGGGATTCTGATGCCTTTTTTCACCTCCACAGGCACCAGGCATGCATGAAGTGTACATATATGTAGAAAAAAAAAACTCACCCATACAAATAAAATAAATAAATCTAAATTAATTAAGAAATCCCACAACTCAAGGGATGATACTAAAATATATTCTAGAAAAATCTTAAAAACTAAACTCTTTTTATCCTAGCTCTCTAAATATTATAAACTACAGTTACAAGTCTTTCCAAATCCCTAAACTATTTACTATTTTGTTCCCTCTTTCAAAGACACAGTTGTTCTTTAAATTCTGGCTGAGGGCGCACCCAGTAATGCAGTTGCCTAACAAGCCCTGGTGCCTAGGTTTGACCCTTTATCGAAATCAATTCTTATGACTAAGTTACATCCTGTTCCTTCTTTGTCTTTCCTCGTACCTCAAAGAAAATCCAAACTATTCCCCAAAACTAAGAGTTAAATATATTCAAAATCTGAAATACATTTTGGCTTCACTAAGGCACATAAATTGGCCTCTCTCCATATTTAAGCTGTCTTAAAAACAGCTCTTTTAAGACTGTAGACTAACATTACCATCATATTTATACATTAACAATGTATTAAAATATAATATATATATACCTTATTTAAAGAATTAATTTCTATTTCCATATCATCTGCTTCTTTTTCCAATTCAAGTGATCTCTTGGTAAAATTGTTGGCACATTTAAGAATGTCTTGTGTTTTATATCTCAAATTAACTCTTTTTATGTTAAGGAACAGGCACGAAATAAATTTTACATTTATTATATAATGAATATATACTATTGACATTTATTTTCTACAAAAGTAATATTGATAATTGGTAACTGAAAAGACATAATGCTAATACAAATAGTTTACCTATAGTATATTAATGAACTTAAAATTAACATTCTATTGAGAATACTCATTGGGACTTTTTCTTTCAATAAAATATATATATATTTTTTTCGAGACAGGGTTTCTCTGTGTAGCTTTGCGCCTTTTCCTGGAACTCACTTGGTAGCCCAGGCCGGCCTCGAACTCACAGAGATCCGCCTGGCTCTGCCTCCCGAGTGCTGGGATTAAAGGCGTGCGCCACCACCGCCCGGCCTCAATAAAATATTTTTATAAGGTAGAATTCTGAACTTTTTCTACGCAAGTTCATTGTGTCATTTGGCATAACTAATAAAACAATCAATTCAACTACAAACTTAAGTTTCTATCACTTATTTATTCTAAAATCAACATTAAAAATTCACTCAATTTCCCTTTTCTTTATCCATAATGTTCATCAATGTATCCTGTATAACTGAAAAGAGCTCCCACCTGGGCTTCCTGCTTGAAATAGTTTATATTTATAGAGTATTTCTCAGTTATTAACAGACATCTTGTGAGGTTACTAAATAATATAATTTCTTAAGTTACTGTACAATCCATTTAGGAGAACTAAGAACTGATTAGAATAATTAACCATGAATAAAGCTCTTAGGAAACCTTTTTTAGTCCTTTCCTATCTTGCCTTATAACGTACATAATTTGTATGCTACAACCAAAACTTCAAGTGAATGTTCTATCGTGTTATTACTAAAAGTGTCTATTTAAAATTGTACATATAAATACTTAAACCCTAACTTTCAATTCTTTCTACCTCCATCCACCTCTCTTTGTCATTCAAACTTTGTATGCCATCCCAAATTATAGCCAACCCTTTAAACTCTGGTTGTGTCTTAAATTACCTACTAATCTCTGACCCTTCGCACAGAGAATTTAATGCACAGCAAATAAAAAACTAAAAAAAGTTGAAAACCAAAATATGGAGAAAGCAAGGAGTAGAGGCATTAAAACAACAGTTTTGTAATGGGAACAAAAGAGAATGCATGGATGAAGACGGCACAAACAGTGGAATTCTAATCCGATAAGAAAGCATATAAAAGATCCTAAGGTTTAAAGAAGATTAAAGTTTTCAGTTCATAATTAGGGAAGATCTCTCTGACAAACAGGTGACACTTATACCATTTAAAATGACTTCACTATCTATTATAGTGGTCCTTATCAGATTTATTTATGATCCATTTCCCATACTACACTCGAGTTCTCTCCAAGGGAAGTCTGTAATTGCAGCATTTCCCAGCACAAGACAGGTACCCAATACACTTGAAAATGAATGATTATAACTCACTTTCTTACTACCTTCTCTACTAAAGAGTAATTAATAATCAATTTATTTGGAACTTCTTAAAAGACAGAGAAAGATAAAATTCTTCATTTGGTTGTCACTTTAAAGCCAGATGCATATATCATTTTATTTTCTCTTAAGTTACTTGCTTTTGATCACATGGGCATATATGGAAACTAACCCCTGGAGACTTTTAAAGTGATCTTTAAAATCTGACTTAAACTGAAAAGCAAATCATTGAGATTCTCAACAGGAAAACATATTAACAATTAAAAACAGAAATTATACTTATCTAATAAAATTATAAGTGAAATCTGTTGTGGATACATGTGTAATGTCCATTTAGTAAGTGATGGGAATGGAGCAGGAACTGTAAAACAAATTTTCAATTGAGAACGATTATACTCTTTCCATTGTAAACATGCTGTAACTAGAGCAGTATATAATAAAATTTCAATACCTAGAAGTTCCATAAGAATAGTTTCATTCTTTTTTAGTTGTTCAGTACATGCCAACACTCTGTTTTGAATTTCTTCATGTTCTCTTTTCTTCTCATAATATTTACATGAAAAGCGTGTTTCTGAGTATTTTAGTTGGTATTGTTTCAAAACATTTTCATACTGACATATATAACCATGGTACATTTTTCTGTTAAAATTAAAAGAAATTATGTAGACATCTACAAACTTAGCAAATATCATTTATTAAAGTCTATTCCATTAAACATAAATGGCAATTATTTACTCATCTTTACTTCCTTGAATAGTCTGTCTTTCAAACTCTCTAACTCTCCCACCATACTTGTGTTTTATTACCTGAGCTATTCATGCACTCCTTAGTCCCCTTCCATTATCATCCATTCTCATCACTTTAATGACGACATTCTTTGAGAATTCATGCAATGCATTTTGATCATATTCACCCTGAACTCCTCACAGATCCATCCCTACCTTCCCACTACCCCCAATGTTGGGTCTTCTTTTGTTAATTATTAACCCATCAACTCTAATTTGTACTGTCTATATATTTCTGGGTGTGGGGCCATCCACTAGAGCATGGTCAACCAGAAGCCACACACTTAAAACTGACTCTCTATACACACCAAAGTCATCAATTCTCCGTAACTCCTCAGTTGTGGTTGGGGCTCATGAACCTCCTTCCCATTCCATGCTAGAATGTTGACTGTCTTGATGGTGTGCAGGTAACCACAGATGTTGTTCATAACTGTGGCAGCTCTGCCATGTCCAGAAGACACTATTACTAAACTCTGTCCTCTTTAACAAGATATGGGAGTTGAACCCCTAAATAAGCTTTTTATCAAACTCAGAGTATTTGCTAATCACTTATCACTTGGAATAACTAGGGAAAATAGTATAAGCGAATAAATACCTTTAAGAAAGCTAACATACTGTATGAAATTAGCAAACATCCATCTTGTTCACAACATATATTTATGATCTAACACACTTCTCACACACTTCCCTAAGTGATGATCCAAGAAGAGTCATTATTATCTCACCTATTAGGAGCAATATTCATTTTCATGAATGCCTTAGGCAGGAATAGATTAGAAGTAAGCAACAGGTAGACTGATACTAGAGAATTTAAATTTTGAAGTAAGTGTGGGCTATAGAGCAAGTTGAAAGCTAGTTGAGGGTACATAGTGAAATCATATCTGGAAAGTGAAGTGGAAAAGGAAGGCAAAATGGGTGGTGCATTATTTCATTTCTTCTTTAAAATGTCTGATATTGAGTCATCAATTCAAATTATCTATATGGCTGGTTTAGAAAACAAACAACTGTTCGCTTAAGTACCTCTGTTCAGCTTGAAAGGTTATCTAGAATAAACACTATTTTAAAAAGACACATATTTGGATTGATTTGCTTTAGCTTCTCTTTGAAACATTTTTCTTTAAAAATTATATATATATGTACATACATATATGTATACACTATATATATATATAATGGGGGCTAGAGTGATGGCTTAGCAGTTAAGAGCACTAGCTGTTCTTCCAAAGGATCCAGGTTCAATTCCCAGGACTCACGTGGCACTTCATAATTCTCTGTAATTCCAACTCCAAGTGATCTGACCCCCTCTTTTGGCCTCCACATACACCAGATACACTTGCAGTGCACAGACATACATGCAGTCAAAAAACCCCACACACATTAAATAAATAAATCTCTTATACCTATCTTAAATGACCATGAATTACATTTAAATGATACAAGCACACATGTATGCGCATGCACACACACATAATTCTAATCACTCCATTCTACATTTCCTTCTTTTGAAGACCCAGGAAAGAAATTTCCTTGAAGCTTCGGGAAAATCTACTCATCTTAGGCAAATGAACTGCTTTTTAAATGAATAGTCTGAGTCCCAACCTGATGACATTTCTACAATGTCTTCACTGTTAGTAATTTCAAAGTCTAATCTGCACCTTTACTCAGTAATATATGTAGTAGGACCACCTGTGTGAATTTCTAACTCAGTCAAAGGTTTCCTACATTATTCTTTGTTGTAGAATATTATTTTAAAGTGTGTTATATTTGTTTATGCTGTGGAACATTTGTTTAATGACGCAAAGATGTGCTGCATTCTTTTACGTTGCATTTGTTTAACTCTGCAAAGCTGTGTAACTTTGTCTGTCTAAAACACTTGATTGGTCTAATAAAAAGCTGAATGACCAATAGCAAGGCAGGAGAAAAGATAGGCAGAGCTGGCAGGCAGAGAGAATGACTAGAAGGAGAAAAAGAGAGAAGATCAAGAAGCAAGAGAAGGAGGAGGAGAATACCAGGGGCCAGCCACCAAGCTACACAGCAAGCCACGGAGTAAGAAGAATGATATACAGAAATAGAGAAAGATAAAAACCTAGAGGCAAAAGGTAGACAGGATAATTTAAGAAAAGCTGGCTACAAATAAGCCAAGCTAAGACTGGGCATTTATAAGTAAGTATAAGCCTCCATGTGTATTTATTTGGGAGCTGGGTGGCAGGCCCCCCAAAAGAGCAAAGAGCAAAAGAGCCAAAGTAAAAAACAACCAACAACAATTCTTATTCCCTGAAGCCTTGATTTTTTTGGGGGGGGCGGGGGGGTTTGAGACAGGGTTTCTCTGTGTAGCTTTGCGCCTTTCCTGGAACTCACTCTGTAGCCCAGGCTGGCCTTGAACTCACAGACATCTACCTGCCTTTACCTCCTGAGTGCTGGGATTAAAGGCCTGCACGACCACTGCCCAGAGAAGCCTTGATTTTAAAAGCCATGTACTGTTAAATAAATCATTACAAATTCTTTGGAGAATAAAGCATCATCTATAAAGAATAGCCTAACAGTCTCCTTTTCCTTTTCCATTTTCTACCTTCAGATGGTATACTCTAGCTTCTTTCTTGTCTTAGTTACTTTTCTATTGCTGTGAATACACAACATAACCAAGGCAATTTATAGAAGAGTTTATAGTGGAATGACAGTTCCAGAGGGTTAGAGTAGAGGACCATCATGGGAGCAGCCAGCCAAGCAAAGCCCTGGAGCAGTAGCTGAGAGCTCATACATCTCATCCACAAGCACAAGGGAGGGAGGGAGGGAGGGAGGGAGGGAGGGAGGGAGGGAGGGAGGGAGGGAGGGAGGGAGGGAGGGAGGGAGGGAGGGAGAGAGAGAGAGAGAGAGAGAGAGAGAGAGAGAGAGAGAGAGAGAGAGCGAGCGAGCAAATAAGGAACGGCATGGGCTTTTGAAATCTCAAAGCCCACCCCTAGTGACACACCTCCTCCAACAAGGCCACAGCTCTCAATCATTCCCAAACAGTCCACTAAATATTCAAACATATTAGCCCGTGGAGCCATTCTCATTTAAACCATCATGCTCCTGGTTTTGCTCCAGACATTTCCTTGAGACATTTTACACATTTGCATGATTTCTAATAACAGTAACTCTAAATCTGTAACTTTCATCCCTACCTCTTTTAGGGCTCATCTTTGAAAAGAAAGGATTACAGGTTTTTTTATACGTAGAACCTAGGTTTAATCTGTATGTGTTTCTATATATAGGTGTGTGTGTGTGTGACTAACAAAACTAGAAAAGGGAGGAAGAGGTGAAGAAAAGGAAGAGGTCTTAAGAGGTAGGAAATAGTAATGTTTTAAGAAAGCAGGAGAGGGGATACCTAGAGGAACGGTGGACACCAGCTTGAGGTGGGGAGGGAGTGTTAGGGGAAAGTAGTGAGAGAAGGAAGCAAATGAGAGCAAGGTATGACACACATGTGTTAACATGCCATGATGAATACATCAAAGACAGGGTTTCTCTGTGTAGCTCTGGCTGTCCAGGAACTCACTCTGTAGACCAGACTGGGCTTGAACTCACAGATATACACACCTGCCTCCGCCTCCTGGGTGCAGGGATTAAAGTCAATACCCCCAAATTTTCATGAGCTAGTTTTAACTATAAGTATTCCTTTACGTGGTTTCCTATAAGGATCATTGAACAATTCTGCTACAATAGTTGCTGATGAGAAATAGGTTATATCTGAACACACATGAAGTTAAATGAAGATTTACAATAAATAAACAGACCTACAGCATCTGTTTACTTAAAATTCTCCAGAATACAAACTTGCTACATTTTTGAATTACCATTCTTACATAGCATGCCATGATAAAACTAACTAACATAAAACTTATGGAACTGAGACTTAATATACTCTCTCTATATATACATATATATATATATACACATATACACAGTACTTGTCTTTTTCATTGTTTTCTTGGTAAACAGTGAGTTGATCTTGCATATAATCTTCATGTTTATGAAAAACATCACATGTTGGCTTCCAGCTACGAAAAAAATTACAGTTGTGATTACCAATTTGAATGTGATTACCATCTCAAAGTGATAAATGAATGCAGTGGGATGGGTATAGAAACAAAAAAGAATGTAATCATTTAAAGAACAATAAATCTTTCTCTTGCTAGCAAAAATAACTTCACATTAAAAAATGGTCAAATCCTATCACCACCACTACCAGCATTCACGTTCTTATATAACCAAATATTAATATTCATTACATTTTACATAAAACTTGCTTTCATTACTAGAGAAGTACAGGTCAGATTGTGTATTGCTGTGACATTTCTATTACATATTCTATTAATGTTCTTGTATTAACACCCCAACATCAGTCATCCTTTCTCATCACAGTTTTGCAATTTTGGCAAAGAAATTCTTCAGTAGTAAGTTTTTTGTTTTGGTTTTGGTTTTTTTAGTTTTTTGAGACAGGGTTTCTCTGTGCAGCTCTGGCTGTCCAGGAACTCACTCTGTAGACCAGGCTGGCCTGGAACTCACAAATATCCACCTGCCTCTGCCTCCTGGGTGCAGGGATTAAAGGAATGTGCCACCACTGCCCGGCTCAGTAATAAATATTTAAAGAGCTAGGAAAGGGTCTAAAGAGAAGCTTTTTTTCCTTTGACTTTTAGGTTTTATGCCCTTTTGAGATTAAAGAAACTAGGCCAAAATGAATTTCAAAATCAGACAGCATGAATAAAGTGAATATCTAACTTATACTTTCCATTTTATTGTACAACTTGAAAAATATTTCCAAAATGAAAAAAATCTAAAATTACTGTATACCATGGCACCTCTGTTCTAAGTAGTATGTGAATATTTTGTTTTCTAATATTTTTTCAAATTCAAAAATTAAGTATGCCCATTCTGTAAGTACAGAAAAGTATATATAGAAAATTACTATCCACATTTTTTTCCTTTTTTTAAAAAACTTTTTCTGATACAGGGTTTCTCTGTGTAACAGCCCTGGCTGTCCTGGAACTTGCTCTGTAGACCAGGCTGCCCTCAACTAAAGAGGTTCGCCTGCTTCTGCCTCCCGAGTGCTGGGATTAAAGGCGTACACCACCACTACCCACATTCTTAAGTATCTAGTATTACTACTTTAATAAGTTATCTCCAGATTTTACTACTATTATAACAATATCGAGATCATAATCACACATAACAACTTACCCTCTTTTGTCACTTGCTGGGCAGAAATTATTCTTAAACATTTGTCTAAATTTCTCATCAATTCTTAGAAAATATTCTCCAGAACAGAATTAGAGGTTCAAAGATTACATATACATATATTCTGTGCATTTAAAATGCTCACAGTGGCCAGGCAGTGGCAGTACATGCCTTTAATCTAAGCACTTGGGAGGCAGAGGCAGGCAGATCTCTATGAGGTCGAGGCCAGCCTGGTCTACAGAGGGAGTTCCAGGACAGCCTGGGCTACACAGAGGAACCCTGTCTCAAAAAGTGCTGCCTGGCGGTGGTGGCGCACGCCTTTGATCCCAGCACTCAGGAGGCAGAGGCAGGCGGATCTCTGTGAGTTCCAGGCCAGTCTGGTCTACAGAGCAAGTTCCAGGACAGGCACCAAAACTACACAGAGAAACCCTGTCTCAAGAAAAACACCAACAAACAAAACAACAACAACAAAACAACAAAAAGGTGCTCACAGTGATCACTAAGGAAATATTCACTACAAGCATTTTGATATACAACCGATTTTCCTAATTTGGGAAATCCAGATATATAATTGGAAACATATTATTAGTTGGATTCATACTATAAATGTTTTATTATTTGCTTGTTCAATTTGTAATGTACTGTTAACTTCTTTCCATACCAAACATACATGTCATAATTTCACTGACTGTTGAATGTTCAGTGATAAGTATATAACTAAATTAATGAAACCTCTAATGTTGGATATTAAGAGTTATGCACAGTGTTTTCCTATAGTTAAAATGTTGAACAAAAAACTCAATTCAATTGCAACCAAGAAAGATGAATGAATAAATCCAAAGACTATTTCTTAAGTCTTTATCTTGAAATTTTTTAGTTTTTTTTTTTTTTTTTAATGTGTATGGGTGTTTTGTCTTCATGATAGTCGGTGCATCAAATGTGTTCTGTGCCCATGGAGGCCAGAAAAGGAATTGGAAGCCCTGGGACTGGAATTACAGCCTGTTGTGTGCCACCATGTGGGTGCTGGGAACTGACCCTTGGGCATCTGCAGGAGCAGTGAGTGCTTTTAACTGTGGGACCATCTCTTCAGTCCCTAGGTTAAATTCTTACAGAAATCTAAGACCTTGAAAAGTCGAAGATCAACAGCAAATTTACATCCCAAGCTTATACACAAAATCATTTGTTTGTTTATCTGTAGACAGGATCTTATATATCTCAACCTGGCCTAGACCTCTATGTAGCTGAGGACAGTGCTGATTCTTCTGCCTCTCTCTCCTAAGTGTTAGAATACAAGCATGTGCCAACACTCTCAGTTTACAAAAGTCTGTTTACACTAAGTAGGTCTGAATTAGTGAGCTCTTATAACCCCTATTTCTGCTTTTCTGTGGAATCTTCTGTAAGTCCTTCTGCAGCTGCATATAACTAGGCAATGTGACGTAATTATTTTGTGAATACAGATGCTAACTTGGGAGTTGGGATTTAGTTCAGTGGGAGGGAAGAGTGCACAAGGCCTTGGGTTCAATTACCAGGAAGGAAGAGGAGGAAGAGGAAGACAGGGAAGGAAGACAGAGAGAACACTGTTACTTTAAAATAAGATTTTTTTTGTCTGTGGTAATAATAAAAAGGGCCCTGCAAATGTTAGGCAAGTGCCCTATCATTGAACTACATTTCCAACTCAACATTTTCTACTAACAACTCTGAAACCTTGAGTAAAATTATCAAATGAAACCAAAAAAAAAAAAAAAATTATCAAATGATAAGAAACGGAAGTTCATTTCTGTCAAATACTTACTTATTATAGCAGTCTTTGATTTCTTTACTATGTTTATAGTAATAAGCAATTTCCTCATCTGTTTTCTTTATAGCTTCACATATCTTAGAAACATTTGCTTTCTTTTCTTTAATGCATTCAAGGCATTCTGAAAAAGGAAATGTTTGTTTTATTTACCTAGACATCATAAACTCAAAACATACCAGAAAAATAAAAGTATATGGCAGCTGACCTAAAAGGCAGAGAATGAGAGAATGGAAAGGCAGCGAGGACTGAGAGAGACGGGCATTTACACTAAAAATCAAGAGAAACAAAGCTAGGCCTATTCCTAGGTCCAGAAGTTTAAGAAAAACGTAAGACCAAAGAAGAACAAATGTCCCTGCCCCCCATCTTTTACAACAGAGGGCTAGATCACATGGCTTGTAAAGTTAATGCACCTTGTGATGCTGTAAATTCACACAAACACTTATTCATTAATGATACTTACTACCAAAGGCTTTTATTTTTGACAAATGTGAAACTGCATCCATTGCACATCAACTATTAAATATACCAATACACTTACGACTTGTAGTTAAATAAATAATAAAAAGATAAAACTGCTTTGAAAAATTGGGATTTTTTTTTTTTCTGAGACAGGGTTTCTCTGTGTAGTTTTGGTGCCTTTCCTGTAATTCACTCTGTAGCCCAGGCTGGCCTCGAACTCACAGAGACCCGCCTGCCTCTGCCTCCCAAGTGCTGGGATTAAAGGCATGCCCACCACCACCACCACCTGGCTAAAAATTGGGATTTTAAATTTATGTGTATGGGTATTTTGCCTGACTGTATATACATGTACTATGTGTGTGTCTAGTGTCCAGTGAAGACTGGAAGAGGTCATAAAGATTCCCTGAAACTGAAATTACAGAAGTTGTGAATCACAATCTGGGTGATGGGAACTGAACCTGGGTCCTTTACAAGAGCAACAAGTGCTTTTAACTACTGAACCATCTCTCTAGCCCTGAAATAATTAATTAATATTCTATTTTTTTTGATTGCAGAAAAGATAATAAAATTCTTTTAGAATACTAAGAAGTTAACAGTTATGTTTCAAAACTGAAATTAGAACTAAACCATTTTAAGAATTCAAAACATTACCCTGATATTTTTTTTTTTACCCTGATATTTTACTTCTTATTTTTCAGAATCATTCTTCCTGAAAGCATGCCACTTACTAACCTTTTTGGTTATTTCTAGAGAAAAAAATTCAAATATTTGAAATGATCTTGTTATTTGAAGGGTAAAAAAAACTGTATATAAGGGATTGTTTCTGAGAAATTCTTCACAAAATGATGTTGAATACAAACATTTATCATTGCAACACTGGGTAAGTTACAACTATTAGCCCTAAGAAAAACAGCTCATTGTTACTCAAAGAAAGACTCCTCACACACACAACTACAGGTTGCCCTAAGCAGTGCAATTATAAAATTAAAATAAAAAAAAATATTTATTTCGTGCAAAACTACTTACTATTAATTCTTTGAATCATATCTTCTTTAGCACTTTTGTCTTGCTCATACTGGAAAACTAAAATAAACATCTCTTTTGTAATTTTACTTCATGGTTAAATGTCAAGTGTTAATACAAATTGCTGCGCATTTCTTTATTTTCATTTTATACCTACCAAATTCCAACAAAAGCCTGTCCAAACTGACGAACAGGTTGTCATTCATCTTGGATCCTGTGTAAAATAAACAATAAAACTTCTGAAACCATATATAAAACAGCACATAGAGAGTAAGAACCTTTCAAATATAGCGCTCTGTAGACCAGGCTGGCCTCGAACTCACAGCGATCCGCCTGGCTCTGCCTCCTGAGTGCTGGGATCAAAGGCGTGCGCCACCACCGCCCGGCAAACACAGCAGTCTTATAAAAGAGAAACCCAGATGGCTGAAGACACGACGACGACCGGGGAGAACCTCTCCAGTCAACGGCTGGATTCCGGGCCAGCGCTCCCAGAGCCCCGAGAAGCAGCTGAACAGGCACTCGACGGGGAAGGCGGAATGTTCTGGAAATTTTCCTTCGACTGTTAACACTGGGTATTGCAAGAAGCCTTTGAATGACTAGACCCCGCAGACGTTCGGACCCCTTGGCTTACATGTTAAAACTTCTGGATCAGCTGTAGGGGGATTCTTAAAGAACGTCCGGTCACTGGCCTGGACCATGGAAAACCGGCGAGATTGGACGTGTATGATATTTTTTTTGGTTTCTCGAGACAAGGTTTCTCTGGGTAGCCCTGGCTGTCCTGGAGCTCGCTCTGTAGCCCAGGCTGGCCTCGAACTCACGGCCGCCCTGGCGACGTTTTCCTTTTTTTTTAAAGCCTTTCCACAGCTTCCGGTCCTAGACGGGCCTTGGCTGGCCTCGCCTTCCAAGGCAGTCACTCACGGGCGACCCGCCCCTCAGAGTGGCTCCCCTCGGTCCGGGCCACGGGCGGCGCCTTCCGGTCCTGGCATGCTGTGCCGAAGCATGGCCTCCTGCCCCGCAACACCCCACCCCGGCCCCGCCCCGGCTCGCCCCGGCCCCCTGCGGCCCCGACCCGCGCCAGCCCACCTAACGGACCCCCACGGACCCCCGAAGGAACGTCAGCGCTCGCTCTTCCCCCTGCTCCTCAGACGCGACCTAACCAACCTTCCGAAGTCGACGCCCTTGGGCCCTGGGCTTGGGAGACCCGCCCCCTGCGGGTCACGTGGCCAGCCGCAAGTCTCGCGAGATCGCGGGCTGGGCTGCTGGGATCACGCCTTCCCGAGGCGGAGGCGTCAAAACTCGCGGACTGGGGGGCGGCGGGAGTCAGAAAGCCGCGCCAAGGTTTTTCCCGTGAGCGGCCGTGGGTCCTTTAAACACCCCCCAGCCCTGGAGTCACAAAAAAAGGATTGGGGATCAGCAGTAAAATGAACATTACGCCAAGGAGCGACGTGAATTCAAAGTTCAGCTTGTATTCAGAATTTCTCAAAACGGCTTGAAAAGCACGTTTTAAAGACTGTTTCAAAAAAAAAAAAGATAAAAAAAAAAAAGTGGCCGGGCGGTGGTGGCGCACGCCTTTAATCCCAGCACTCGGGAGGCAGAGCCAGGCGGATCTCTGTGAGTTCGAGGCCAGCCTGGGCTACCAAGTGAGTTCCAGGACAGGCGCAAAGCTACACAGAGAAACCCTGTCTCGAAAAACCAAAAAAAAAAAAAAAAAAAAAAAAAAAAAGACTGTTTCGTTTGCTTTTTATTTTTACTTTTTACTTTTTTTGGGGGGTGGGGGGAGCTAAGGATTGAACCCAGGGCCTTGTGCTTGCTAGGCAATCACTCTACCACTGAGCTAAATCCCCAACCCCTCATTTGCTTTTTAAAAAATTAACCCAAAGTTTTTTTGTTGTTGTTGTTTTTGTTTTTGTTTTTTTTTAACTTACTGTTCCTAGATGTAGGTTAAAAGGGCCAAGGAAAGACACTCTAACTTAACCCCAAGACCAGGACCAAAGGAAAAACACCCTGACCCTAACTTGACCCCAAACCCAAAACCAGAAGCAGAATCCCACCAATCCATCAGCTTGCCTCAAGATCAGGCCACCAAAATCCCACCAATCCCAGGCCACCTCCGCCCCCAAGAAACTCTATATAAACCCTACCTTCTCCTCAGTTTCCTGCTGCTTCTCCCCTAAGCACAGGCAGCCATCCTCCTGTTTTGTTTTTCCCCTCCCAATAAATCTCTTGTGTGAGGTTTATTGTGTGGTGTGACTTTGTGGTATTCTTGGCTCTGGATTGCCAGGATACCTTTCCCTTCAGAGCTGCCACACAGGAGCAAAGCTGTAGCACTTCTGTTGGGGAAGCCTTTCCCCTCAGAGCTGAAACCTACTAGATTATTTATGCTTTTGAATTTGTGTGTCTAAAGTGAACATACAGGGGAAAAAATAGAAAATCTCCTAAATTGCTTCTATTTTTATTTTATTATTTTATTTTGATTTTTCGAGACATAGATTCTTTATGCAACATCCCTGGCTGTCCTGGAACTTACTCTGTAGACCAGGCTGGCCTCGAACTCACTGAGATCTGCCTGCCTCTTCCTCCTAAGTGCTGGGATTAAAGGCATGCACATCACTGCCCTGCAGCATTATAAAACTGTATATACTTTAAAGGCATTATTGTATCATAATGTAGTACAATAACTAACATTTAGAATTACTAATAATGAACGAGAAGGCTTTTCTGTTGCGTTCCCTTGAGCTGGTGGATATTGATAGTTGGAAGGAAAGATAATAGAAAATGAGATTAGAACTTAAAGAATTGTTTGGAGTAGGGCTGTGATAACTAGCCATTCCTAATCTTGTAAATGAACCAAACATGATGCTTGAGAAATAGCCATTAATGAAAGTGATTATCGTGGAAAGATACAGGTTTCCCAAGATGGAAAGTTTTTGCTTACTCTTTGTAAGGCGAATTGCTAAATGGTCTTATTAACAAAAAAGCTGGAGCCAGACATTGGGGTTTAAACCGATATTTCAGAAAAGCAGAAAGAAGCCAGCCACGTTCTCACCACTTGGAGATCCTCAACCAAAGAGACCTACTTCCTGTATACCCACGCCTATATGCCTTTCTGTTCTGCCATCTCATTTCCCCTCTCTGCCCAGCTACATCACTTCTTCTTCCTGCCCAGCTCTGTCACTTCCTGTCTGTCTGTACAGACCTCCAGACCTTTGTGGTTAGTGCTGGGATTAAAATTATGTACCACCATGCCTGACTCTGTTCCCACTGTGGCCTTGAACTCACAGAGATCCAGACAGATCTCTGCCTTCTGAGTGATAGAATTAAAGGCATGTGCTACCATTGCTTGACCTCTATGTTAACTATAGTGGCCAGCTTTTTCCTCTGATTCTCAGATAAACTTTATTAGGGCACATAATATTTTGGGGGACAATGCATCACCACAACTCTGGGCCTAGAAATTATGTTTGCTCACCCAGCAATAAGTAAGAAGCCAAAGGATTTTGACAATATGGTGACAAACACAGAATTCTTCTATATGGGGGGAGGAGAAGAAATGCAATTAGAAACTCCAGGGAAAATAAAATATATATAATAAGTTAAGGATAAAAGTGGAAAAAACTGAAGGTCAAGGTGATGGTCCAGTGTATTAGTGCTTCTGAAGAATTCTGTGTTTGTCACCATATTGTCAAAATCCTTTGGCTTCTTACTTATTGCTGGGTGAGCAAACATAATTTCTAGGCCCAGAGTTGTGGTGATGCATTGTCCCCCAAAATATTATGTGCCCTAATAAAGTTTATCTGAGGATCAGAGGAAAAAGCTGGCCACTATAGTAAACATAGAGGTCAAGCAATGGTAGCACATGCCTTTAATTCTATCACTCAGAAGGCAGAGATCTGTCTGGATCTCTGTGAGGACCTGAGTTTGGATCCCTGGTACCTACACATTGACATGTGCCTGTAATCCCAAAGCTAGGGATTGGAGACAGAGAATTCTGGGAGGTTTTTGGCCAACCAGTCTAAACAGTTGATGAGTTCCAGGTCCAGTGAGAGATTCTGTCTTAAAAATCAACGTGAAAAGCAGTAGAGGAAGACACTAAACATTAACCTCTGGCTTCCACAAGTGCAAACATGAATGCTGGAATGCACACCACACACACACACACACACACACACACACACACACACACACACACACACGTTCAATTTTATTATGTCATATTACTCACTGATATTAATGATAGCAAGCCATCAAGGCTAAGTTTTGATGATATAAGAATTTAGTTAATTTGTTCTTTTTTGTGTGTGAGACTCTTCTAGTTTTCCAGGTTTATCAAAGTATAACTTACAAAAAAAGTTGTATATATTTACAGAGAATAACATATAAAGTTGAATACATTAGTATATTAGCTGTCTATTGCTAATAACACAATACTGCAGACTAGTAAGTTTGCCTTAATGATGTGTATTTTGGCTCAGACTTCCTGAGGCCCATGGCTGAGAGGCCATATCTACTGGTGGCCCTCTTGGCAATAACATTCCAAAGCAATGCAAGGCATCACACCCCAGGACATCAATCAACCATGCATACTGTGTCTCCTCTGGTCCCTCACCTTCTTTTTATATAGAGATCAGGATTCAATTATGACCATTCCATTCTAGTGACTATATCTAATCCTAATTTGATCCCCAAATTCCCACTTCTGAACATTAGAGTCAGGTTAAATGTCTACCACCTTAATATCTCAAAATGGGGATTAAATTTCAACTCATGAAGCCTTGAGGGAAACACACTCAACTCATATACAGGCCATAGCAGTTATAAAATGAAATCAAATTAACTTATGTAGCATATCCACCACCTCATTCAATTACTATTTGTGGGGGTGGTGAGGTCATTTAAGATCTACCCTCTTGCCATATATCAAGTACAGAATGCAGTATTATTGACTCTAGTCACCATGATGTACACTAGTTTTCCAGAATTCATTCATCCTGCCTAGCTGAAATTATGTGCTGCTCTTTGACTAAAAATTCCCTGCTTCTATCTCCCATCTCTCCTAACCCTCAGCTTCTACGAGTGCAAGTTTTTGAAACATGTTTTGAGATTATAATATAGTTACATAATTTCTCCCTTCCATTTCCTCCCTCCCAGCCCTCCCTTGCTCTCTTTCAAATCCATGGCCCCACTCATGGTTATTCCATTCATATAT